GCAGCCGCCCGACACGTAGAGGGCCCCGTCGAGGGCGCAGGCCGCGTGGCCGCACAGAGCCACGGGCAGGGGCTGGCACCTCCTGCCAAGGGAGAGATGGAGGCGCGTTAAGCAACGTGGCTTAACCCCTGCTTGCCCAGGAGAGCCCCTGCTAGCCCTGGATGAGGCAAATGGCCAACAAGCAGCATTGGCCAACAGTTAATGGACCCCCTGTGCGTGGCACTGGAGAACACGTCATGGATTCCCCAATGTTGTCCAACCCTCAACAGACCCCCCCTCAAGGCAACACTTGTCAACGTGCAATGGACCCTCTAGGAGCAACTCTGGCCAGCGGGCATTGCTGGTAGACATTCAAGTGATTCCTCTCTTTGGCAGGTGGGTAAGAGACTCCCAGTGGTCAAGAAATGTGTTTGTGACCCAGTGGGCATCACTGGTCAACACCCAATGGACCCCTAAGGACAATTAGTCAACCCCCAATGGGCCCCAAGGGACACTTAGTCAATGACCAATGGACCCTGAAGGGCAGTTAGTCAATGCCCAATGGGCCCCAAGGGACAGTTAGTCAATGCCCAATGGACCCCGAAGGGCAGTTAGTCAACGCCCAGTGGACCTCCCGCATGGTTAGACAACCATGATCTGTTCTCCATTGGAGGGACAACATTGACCAATGACCCCAAGATCACTCAGTGGGCACCACTGGGCACGTGGAGGGGATACCAGGGCAGAGGAGGGCGGCCGAGCGGGGAGGTCTCACCTCCAGGTGTCGGTGGCCAGGTCGTAGCGCTCCACCGAGTCCGTGCAGTAGAGCTGATCCGAGCTGCCCCCCAGGGCGTAGATGAACCCCCCGAGTCCCGCGGCTGCAAAGTAGCTCCTGCCACAGGCCATGCTGGCCAAGCGCTCCCAGGAGTCCTCCATGGGCCGATACCTGGGGTCGAGAGGCCAAGGGAAGGAGAGCTCTTACCCACAACGCCGGGACGTGGAGTTGAAGTCGCTGAGGGCGACCTCCCGCATGCAAACAGCCAATGGATGTGATAATGTCCAGAGGCATCTCCAGGTGGGAACCTCCCTGTGCCATCCTTAATGCATCCCATACTGTTCCCAAGTAGGTGGGCACCAGAAGGACAGGAACCTCCCAGCCTACACCCAACCCAACCAATGCCCTGGTGCTACTTGGTAACTGCAACCTCAGAAGGTCTCGAGCCCATGTGGAACCTCTAGGTCTCACAGAATCATAGAATGCTTAGGGTTGGAAGGGACCTCTAGGGGTCATCTAGTCCAACCCCTGCACACGCAGGGTCACCTAGAGCACGTGGCACAGGACTGCGTCCAAGCGGGTTTGAAGATCTCCAGAGAAGGAGACTCCACAACCTCTCTGGGCAGCCTGTTCCAGGGCTCTGGCACCCTCACTGTTAAGAATTTTTTCCTCAAGTTCCTGTGGAACTTTTGGTGCTTCAGTTTCTGGCCATTTCCTCTAGTCCTATCAGTGGCCAGGTCTCCCAGCACCTTTGAACACCACAGAACCCCCATGTCCTGCTCCTCCGTGGCGCTCACCTGTAGACACTGGCCAGGGTGTCCCGGGCCCCGTAGTAGTGCTTCCCACCCAGGATGTAGAGCGCGTTGCCGATGACGGCTACGGCGTGGCGGAAGCGCGGGCCGTCGGGGAAGTGCCCCAGCGCCCGCCATTCCACCCGCTTCACCAGCCCCACGGCACTGAGGAAGCGGTGGGCGAACCAGAGCTGCTTGCTGGGCTGCCGGGCGGCCATGTCGGGGGTCCGCTTGGCCCCGCCCCAG